CCAGATTGTCTCCTAAGATGGCTATCAAAGCTATACCTTCATTATGGTTCCATCCTCTACCAGAACCCCTGTCTCTTCCATCCATTTAAGGTCTGCAATAAGACTTCAAAGCTTTGTTATGGCCAAAGGTTTTGAAGTCAGTGTCACTGCAAAGCAGAACAAGTTGCATTGCATCAACAGAGGACCAGTTGTGTGGTAAGATCTCACCTAGAGTCATGTACACTGCCAGGATTTTATGTTTCTTTTTGCCAGACCCTAATGGATTAACCACTCCAAATGCATCTTGGTAGAGAATGAGTGAAAGAGATGATGGATAGTGCTGTAAAAGTGCATTATCCTTGACATTTTGACCGTCTGAGACATCCTCTAAAACCATGTCTGGTGATCGGCGCTGTTTTGACTGTTTGTACTGTTCTCGTATTGTGAGTTGTCTCAAGAGAGACTTCAGTGTTTCTTTAATTGGCACATACTGAAAATAACGCTGTTTGCCTGTACTGTCAGATCCTAAAAAAATTTGAGTGGGTTCCACATAACTGAAATTTTCTTTGAAAAATGTCTTCTTTGTTTTGTCAGATTTCAACACACCTTTATTGTACAGTGTTAAGAGATCATTCTGTAAAAGTTCTTGAATGATTTCACCAATTTCTTGTTGCCTTGACTGCTGAACTGTCTGCTTATGTTTTTGAGAAATATGGCTGGAATTATGTTCGGACACTGAAGTATTTAGAGCAGCCTTCAAATGGACATAATACTTTTTTCCCGTCTGATGTGAAATCTGAGATGGGCACAAAGACCTGTGAAGTTTTGTGCAGCATACCCACATCCAGGAACTTGACAGCTGAGGTAACCAGTGAACTTATAGAACTCCTCCTCAGTGGTCTCCCTTCTTGTTCTGTGATTCCTATGCATATGTGAACGAAAGGCAGAAAATGTTCTGAACGTGGCAGGACAGTTCTCAGTTCCACAGGAAAACCTATAGTTAGCTACATGTTTGTGGCTTTTAACATGCAAGCTGAACAATATAAATTTCCGTGCACGGAAGCCACAAAATTTACAAGTAAACTTAGTTGCAAAAACTTCAATGACAAATTACCTATCCAAAATGACATATACAATGCAAACCCCAAAAAAAAGACAAGAGTATAGGGACCAATTCCCAGTTTATAAATGATCAAAATTATTCACAAAAGGCTTCAATGACCACAAAATCTGTAAAAGCACAGTAAAGACAAGTGAGCAGCGCACAAAAATTAAAAGATATTCGAGCTCAACGCTTGACTGACTTTAGCCTGACTTAGTTAGCACCCCGCACCGTACAGGTAGTACAAGCACACCTGAAAACACTGACCATTTACCAGCTTTAAGCATTTGGGCGCAACCTCATTAGTTCGCCGATTCACCTGTTGCAAACGTCCATGTTTCTATCAAGTCTCAAAAATTCATCGGCAACTATTACTAACTAGTCTTTTGAGTCTCCACATTCATAGCTATTGACATTTTGTCTTAGCATTTGATTGAAAATAACCTAGCGGAAAAGTCAAAACAAACAGTAATAAGAACACATTTCTGACTTCTCTCGAATAAGTGAAAAAACACTTACCTTCAGACTGATTAGCTGGTTCCAATTCAACTTTAATGTGTCCCATGTCAGTCAGTTTTAGGGAAAAAGTGTTAAGTTTAGATGTTTCATTTACTTTTGAGATACTCCCGCATTAATTGGATGAGAAATTTGGAGTCTAGCAGAGTTGTCACGAATAGCATAAAATCTTCAGATATAATCCAATCAACCGTGCATTTAACCTGACTGAACTCCATCCAGTTACCTCTGACTACTTCTAAGTTGCACATCTTAACGGTCCGTAAATTGTCTCTGTTGTTCTTCCACCATCTCATCATCAATCTGTGCTGCAGCAAACTGGGACTGTGGCACAGAATAGTTGATGGTCATGTTGTTCTCCTGCTTTGCAGCTTTGTTTGAGTCTGAATCGCGTCTTAAACGGGCACAACTAAGAAAAGCAGATCAATATTTTCTTCTTGTTGTTATTTAATGATGGTTGGCAACCAGTGAAAGGAGCATTAACCGCCTCAATCACTATCTTCTATCCACCATTGTTGTTTTGAAAGTGAATACCCGACGTGTGCGCCATACATCACGTTGTACGTCTGGTAAAGGTGTGGTGTCGGCTGTGGCTCTCCCATTGAGATGTGTAACAAGTGCTTCACACACCTGTCGCATAAAACGCTTTAAAAATGTAACAGTCGCTTTAAAAACACAACCCAACGCGCTAAACATGAACAAACAAAAACACCCGTGTTACATTATCATGTATATCCAGGACATCTCTTCTGAACCAAGACAAAGTGGTGCTACAAAGGAATTATTTCTATAGGAGAGTGCATTTAATAGCAGTCTGGCCTGCCACAAAATGCACCGCTAAAAATACAGTTTCTGCTTGTCCCAGAATTTATTAAATTTAAGAGTGAAGTTGTAGGACTGATGCTGGTTAGTAGTGTAGGTTTCATGGATGTGACACCTGAACTTGTGTAAAATGACGACCACAGCATATTCTTTTCAGTGAACTTTTGGTTAGTTCACTGTAGCTAGGCAGAGGTGTCTTAAAAGTACCACCTTTGCAGAAAAAAATGAAGTTCCAGTATAAGAAAGAATAAGAAGAGAAAAAAGCTACACCCTGCTAAATGAAGTAACTTTTAAACATTACTCTAAATGTAACATATAGAAAGGAAAAGTATACGTTACCTAGTAAGTATACTACTAATGCTTCTTGGGACTATATTGGCCCCCATTTTAGTATATGGAAGTATACTTGAAATTAGCTTTTAGATGTACTTTTTGTTCACTATAAATGTACTAGCATAATGTCCTTTCCAGTCTATAAGAGTATACTTAAAATATACTGTACTCTAACACAATACTAAACTTCCAAGTATACTGTTAATTTACTTTTTAGTTTATATTTGGCTTACTTCTGATTGAAACATAGTAATTAAAATCCAGTTGAAACATATTTTTCACATGTAACATATCACTCCATTCCCCAGACAGTCAGATGATAGTTTCAACTATCAGAAGGCTTCCTTTGCAGAGAACTACACTCATAGTTCAAGTACCAGAAGTATATTGTAAACAGGTGAGTAAATAATTTTAGAGTTGAGGTTTATTAATTGTTAACCCTTTTCATTCACGGTTTAAACAATGTTTTTTATCCCACTTACTCTGTTCAAAAGGTAAAAGACATTACACAAGAATTTGTGACAAATTCTTGTTTAAAACATCAATTATTTGTTTCATAGTTGTTTTAATTTTACAGTTAAAGCACTACAATGCATGCTGGGTATTTCGTTGTACTCCTTAGTATACTTCAGGTATACTTCAAATAATCTACATACTACATAGTATACTACAAACACTACTATACTACAAGTATAGACTAATTTTTTTTATACTTTTCTGTATACTTCGAACTGGACTTACTGTCCAGTTCGAAGTACTGAAGTATGCTTAAATGTAATGTGGTCTAAAAATCTATAAAAGTACATACAAAGTGAACTAAAAGTATACTTGCTTGTTTTCAAGTTTTTAAAGTTGACTTATAATATACTTGAATATTCTTTTTTGTAAGGGTGAGACTGGTTGTTTGATACAAAGTGGACTGTAATTATGTTTCACATTGTTTGAA